CTGTACCCTTCCAGTCAGATGGACCCTCATTTGGTTAGCCACATTGTTCACAATGCCGCATAGGGCCTACTGTGTTTTGTTTCAGATCTGTTCTAGTTGTCTGTGCAAATACAGACAGTCACTAAGTAGCGGTTTGTGGAGGGAGGCGTTACAGAGATCATCAGCATATTACTTTTGTAAGGGTAGAAATCGAGCTTGGGTAGATGCTGCCTGTGAACCAGGCATTCCCTGCCCTGTCAGTAAGCTCTGCAAGTAGCCCATCAGGTGGAGGCCTTCAGTCTTGAATTGTCCCTTCTGTGTTGATGGGTTGTGACTCAGGTGTGTGGTGCTATGTCTTTGCCCCTTCCATAGCTGGGACGGGCCGCTTTCATTGGCACCTGGGCCCCTCCCAGAGGCCTCAGAATACTTGTAAGCTATGTCTGATGATAGAAATTGTTTTAAGTTATAAAGATGCTCCAGACTGCAAAGCATTTGTTGAAAGAAGAGAAGGTGGTGCACAGCTATCCCTGTGACTGGAGAACTAAGAAACCTGTGGTGATTCGGGCCAGCAAGCAGTGGTTTATCAACATCAAGGACATCAAGGCTACAGCTAAGGTAGGAAAGGCCTCCTGCTTAGGCCATGTGCTCTGAGGGTTGGGCTGGTCATTCCCACAGTAAAACTGGGTGTGTGTATGTGTGTGCTAGTGAGGGGGCTTTATAAAAGAATTATGATTCATTATGAATTATTTTCCTAAAATTGTATACTTTTGGTTCCTTCATTATACATATGTAAAACTAAGGTTTAAAGAGGCTAAGTGACTCATCTGGTCACTTTTTGTCCAGTGTCTTAAAAGTAGCCTAGGCTGAGGCAGAACTTGGCCAGTAGTGTGTAACCTCCTAGCACCTTAGCTCTGTCACTCTTTACCCTGCTGAAGCCAGAAAGTCAGCTCCCACATCCATGTCCGCCACTCTCCCACATGACACACATTTAGTGAAATTTTTGTGTCCTTTGTAGCCTTGAAATTAAGGCTGCTAAAAAGAAGGAAGCAAAACAAAATTTTGATCCACTTAAAAATTTGTTGTGATGCTAGGGAGATGACTCAGTGATTTAGAGCACTGGCTACTCTTGCAGAGAACGTGGGTTTGGTTCCTAGCCCCCACTCCAGGCTTCTCGAAACTGCCTATAACCCTTGCCCTAGGGGTTCTCATGCCCTCTTCAGGCATTGCATCTCATAACGGATGGTTGTGAGCCACCATGTGGTTGCTGGGAATTGAAATCATGACCTCTGGAAGAGTAGTCAGTGCTCTCAACCTCTGAGCCATCTCTCCAGCCCCAATGTTGCAGGTTTTTAAGCTCTTTATTTAATACACCTGGCCATATATATGTTTTTACCCACATTGATGCATATTCCGAAAACAGCTGATTCTATTGAATGAAAAGTTCAAGTGTATATTCAGTAACCAGGCTGAATACACAGATAATTTGCTTGGCAGCTTGCAGCTGAAGCACTGATGTAGCCAGCCAGTTCGTTCATTGGCTTAATAATTAATTAATTAATTAATTAATTGGCTTGATAATTAAGGTCCTTCTCAGAACTGTGTGCAGGAGTTCATTCTTTTTACACTTGTATAAATAGGCATGTGACATGTTGTGTTTATTTTGTTTTATTTTTCATTTCCATAGTGATAAGTCTGGTTTTTTGGGTTGTTGTTTGCTTATTTGCATGAATTTTTTTTTTTTTTGAGACCTCATTACATACCTTCTGCTGCCAGGCATTCACTATGTAGGCCAGGCTAGCCTCAAAATTGTGGCAGGACTCCTGTCTTAGCCTCCTAAGTGCTGGGATTCTAGCCATATGTTAGTCCATATGTCCAGCTGTCTGTTCTTGACAGTGGTGAGATCAGTGTCTGCTGGCACACTTTGAAGCCTTTGCTTTTCTGTAATTTTGCCTGTGGTGGGAATGGGAGGGATGTGAGTGGCTGCACACATTTGGAACGAAGAGCTGTGTTAGGAAAAGTCAGGACAGTTTTTAAGAATTGGTTCTGCTTCTCTCACTTGACCTGACGATGAATGAATTGCAGGAGTTGTTGAAAACAGTGAAGTTTATTCCCGGAGCGGCGCTGAATGGCATGGTTGACTTGCTGGACAGGCGGCCATACTGGTGTATATCAAGGCAGAGAGCTTGGGGTGTTCCAATCCCCGTGTTTCATCATAAGACAAAAGATGAATATTTGATCAACAGGTAATTCTTTTCTGTTTATTGTTTGCGTTTTTTGTGTACCATTAATAATTCCCTGTTAGTGCTCATTTACTCTGGTTTTGAGATGGTCTTTGAGTATGAGTCCAGGCTGACCTCAAAGGCCTGGGTCCAAGTAATTGTGCTTCCCCCTTCTAAATAGCTGGGTTACAGATGTGTGCCACTGTTTTCATTTCTCTCCACCTCCTTCCGTCTCACCATGTAGCTCTGGCTGCTCTGCTGCAGTCTCCAGCTTATAGTAGCTGTCCTGCCTCCCTTCCTAGTGCTGGGATGTAGGCATGTCCCAGCTCCCCTGCAACGGTCCCATTGTTGCTGAGCTGAGTGATCCAGTAGTCAGGATGACTGGGGATTGGGACAGGATTATAAATTAAGGCCAAGAGCAGAAAGTCTACGTAAGTTACCAGGTGGTATGCTCTCTGTTTTAATGAACTGATGAGGTCATTTCTATGCTGTTCTAGCTGTCAGCAAGTCTAGATTGTTGCTGTTTTGTTGTTTGTTCTCTCCTCCATGCCGCCGCCACCCCCGTGTGTGTGTGTGTGTGTGTGTGTGTGTGTGTGTGTGTGTGTGAGAGAGAGAGAGGGGGGGGGGTGTTCTGGGATTAAGTCTGTGTCTCCACACCCCAGCTTCTTGTTGCTGTTTTAACAGAGGTGGAAAGGGAGATGTGAATCATTTCTATTAGGAATTTATTCTAGGTTTTCATTTTCTTAGAATGCTTTGGCCTAATTGGTTAATGAGACGTTACTAAATTATGCTACAGCATTGGTGACATTGGCTGTGTTTGTTTAGTTGAGGATCTATTGGGGAGCTTGAGGAAGAGAGGCAACAGTGATGGGGAGTTTGAGAGACGTAGGCACAGCCTGGGCAGCCCTTGCTTGGATTCCTTGGCATTGTAGATGGTCTGCTTTTGTGGTTACTATGATTGTATGTCCTTAACAGTGCCTTACTATTTAGACATTTTAAACTATGTTGATTTAAGTTGCTTTTTTTAAAAATTAATCTTTATTTAAATTAAACAATTTTATTTTACAAACCAATCCCAGTTCCTTCTTCCCCCATCTTCCCATGCCCTCCACCAATCCCTCATTCTACCCCCCACCCCCACCCACTACTTAGGGAGGGTGAGGCCTCCCATGGGGATCATCAAAGTCTGTCACATCATTTGGGGCAGGACCTAGGCCTTCCCCTGTGTATCTAGGCTGATAGAGTATCCTTCCATAGGGAATGGGCTCCTAAAGCCCATTTATGCACTAGGGATAAATACTGATCTGCTGCCAGAGGCCCCATAGACTGTCCAGGCCTCCTAACTGACACCCACATTCGGGGGGCCTGGGTCGGTCTTTTGCTGGTTCCCCAGCTGTCAGACTGGGGTCAGTGAGCTCCTGCTTGTTCAGGTCAGCGGCTTCTGTGGGTTTCCCCAGCTTGGTCTTGACCCCTTTGCTCATCACTCCTCCCTCTCTGCAACTGGGTTCCAGGAGTTTGGCTTAAGTTGCTTTTTAAAAAGTTATCTGTGGTCATGTAAAGAATAGGCTTGTTGCTGTTTCCAATACTTTTGTGCTGGGAATTGTATCAAGGCCCTGCACGTGCTACGGCTGAGCTACACTCTAAGCCCTGGCAGTTTACTGTTTATGTTTTATGACGGGGAAGCTATTGGTGTCTTTTGTGTGCATGCTCTTTTTGACTTTGCTGTCATATCCTGAGGAACTTGGTTCAAAGAGAACAAGAGCATCTGCCTTGCTCACTGGCTTCATTCACAGAATGTTCAGCATTTCAGCTGAACGTGGGGAAGAGTGTTCTGCAGCCGTCTCGGTGGGCAGTACACAGGACATTGGCTCCAGGGGTTGTGAGAGGGCAGGAAAGAAGGGCAGGCACTCACTAAGGACTGGCTAGGACAGACTGGAAGGAATCTTAAATAACATATTAAGGATTTTAAACTCCCAAGTGGATAAGACAAGTATTTCAGGCTGGATTGTAAGACGTTGATTATTGGTAAAGGTTTGAGTTACCTTGACTCTGCCGAGTATTGCTGCTGTGTGGTTCTTATAGACCTTACAGTCTTGTCAGTTATATTCCACTACTGTCTTAGTACACTGTTGAGAAGGAAAGTGATTATAGTTGAGATAAATTAAACTTAAAAGCCACTGTTGTTTCTTATTCCTCAGTTATTAGAATGCAAGATTTCTAGGGCATTGCCTTGAAGTGACTGAGGTGGGATGGATATGTAGAACATATCCATTAAATTTAAAAGGTAGAACAAGTTTGTTTTTTTGTTTGTGTGAAGGGGACCGATTGAACCTAGGCCCTCTCAGACGTTAAAAATACACCCTACCACTGAGCTGCACCCCAGACTTTAGTTATATACACCCTACCACTGAGCTGCACCCCAGACTTCGGCAAACTGGTGGAACTATTATTTTAAAAATAAAAATTTAGCTAGATTGAGCAGTCAGCAAGTTAAGTGAAATAGATGTGAGCTTTGTCAGACACAGAGACACGTCCACCCTGGCATCGTCTCCATTTTATTTTGTCAACATGATCTACAGCAGAACTGCTTGGATGGTGTCAGTCAATTGCTGTTTGTTTGTTTGTTTGGTTTTTCAAGACAGGGTTTCTCTGTGTAGCTTTGGAGCCTATCCTGGCACTCCCTCTGGAGACCAGGCTGGCCTCCAACTCACAGAGATCCGCCTGCCTCTGCCTCCCCAGTGCTGGGATTAAAGGTGTACACCACCATCGCCCGGCCAGTTGCTGGTTTTTATGTAGCAGAGACATACAGAATATTGGCCTACAGAATGACAGACATACACAGCCATACTGTCTGTCAATTCATAGGTCATTTTCCTGTACAACAGTTCACGATGAGAACTTTCAGTGTCTTCCATGGTTGGATCCTGGTGACGTAGCACTTGAGTTTTAAGACATTTATATTCTTAATTGTTTGTTGGAAAATAGAATGAAGGTTATCGGTTTTCTTTTTTAATTAAATGAGGTCAAGAACCCAGAAATTTCTGTCTTTCCTTTCCGACACTGTAGCAGGTTGGTGGCCATCAAGAGTAACAGCACCTCCACTGGAAGTCAGCCCACAGTCCACATGGAGTTGCTGTTACATGTGATGACCCCATGACACTCGTTTTGTTCTGAAACATGTAGTTAGTGTGTGTGGTTCTGAGTACTAAACCTGGAGCTCAGTGCGTGCCAGGCAAGCACTCCGAAATATGGAGCTCCACCCCCAGCCCTCTGCCTCCTCCTGATGGATGTGTAGGTGATGGGTGGGAGTGGTGGCAGTTTGGGGACAAGATGTAGCCTGTGCCTTGCAGTCCTGCCTTAGCTTCCTGAGAGCTGGGACCCAGGGTGAGCGTTACCATGCCTGACTCTCCTGCTTTTTTGACAAAAGTCTTCGCGTTACCTCTAAACATATTTGTTTTGCAAAGGAAAACCTTGGTTTATCATGTTATAAATAAACTTAAAGACTGGCAGACTTCAAGCTCTGGACTTGACTTGTGATGTGTTAATTCATTTATAGTCTATGCTTGCTTCTTTTTCTCAAGACTAGTTCTACTTTTGGCATTAATATCATTGGGCATTTTCTGAATCTGTAATAAAATCCCTGTATAATTTAGGTGAAATCAATTCCTGGTTAGGAAAAACAAATTTTTTTAAGCCTAAAATGGATAAAGGATAAAATTTAGAAACATTGGCCACCTAGAGAAGACAAGAAGATAATGATGGAGTTTCTCTTATTTCAGGTGTGTGTTGTCACCTAACACTGTTGACTTAGGCAACTTGGAGCCAATGAGTGGAAACCTGTAGACCTTATATTCATGAAGTAAAGAAAGCATTCTAACTCACTTCCCGCTGCCTTTCCAGATGGGTATAGGACGGAATAGAAAACCAGCTCTTGTCTCTGACGCTGGGTTGTGTCCTTAGTCACATGTAGTAAACAGACAGGAACACTTAACCTCTTACCTCGCTTCTCCATGGACTTCCAGCAGGGATCTTGTCTTGTCCTTTTGCCTCTGAAGAGAAGACAGGCAGAGTGAGATGGCAGCAGTGGCTCCTTTACCTGGAAGCCCTCAGTGCTGCCTGCTTCCCAGCTAAATACGGCCCCTGCCACTGAGAGCACAGCTCAGCGATTGGCTGCTCTGGGAGCTGCTTGCACTTCCGGGGTTTTCCCTGATGGAAACTGAAGCAGGAACATGTAATGTGTCAGCAAAGGTCTTTGAGTCAAGTATAAAGTTTTATTATGTTTGACTTATTGCTCTGTGAAATACAGCATTAAAATGGAAACAGATTACATAGCGATAAGTGGTTTCACCCACTTTTATCAACAGTAATTTATACTGATTTTTAGGTCATAAGTCAACTGTGTGTTCAAGGATAGGACACTATTAATAAAATAAGGAGAATTCTTGAATTTGCAAGGAAAAAGTTTAGATCCCACCCCAAAGCACATAATAATATCACCGGGGAATTCTTAACAAATTCTTTTAAGACATTTGAAAGCGTGATCTCATTATAAATCATCATGATCTCATGCTCTCATTATTCATTATAAAAAAAATCCACTTCTAAGTATTTATCATAAAGAAATAAGACTAATTCTGTACAAAGATATGTATATAAGATGTCCAGCTTAGCTGTTTGTCAAGGAATGCAATGACCTACAAAAGAAGACAAGGCTAGGGATATAGCCCAGTGGTAAAGCCTAGCACTCATGAGGCCATAAGTTCAAATCCCAGCGTCACACATATTCACACAGATGAAGTTTGGATCACTTATAGAAGAGTGATCACAAAGACTTTTAGGGTGGTAGCCTTGCTCTTCATGGTTTCGTAGGTCCCCACTTAATGCAAATCTAGTGACCAGACCTTTCCAGCATGTGGCTGTGTCTAGGTGGGTTTTGTTGTTTTTTGGTAGGAGGTGAATTCTCTACCATTGAGCTGCTTTCCTGCCCTGGTTTCCTGAGACATGGACTCTGTAGCTCAACTGTGCATAAGCCCAGTGACCTCTCCAGTTTGCCTCCTGGGTGTTGAGTTGCTGGTCCATGTGAGGTGCAGATGGCATGAGAAAATGTCTGTTTGTGGCAGCGGTGCTGTGCACTTGAACTTGGATATGTTCAGATGGGAACGCTTTTTGTTAACCTACTTTTAAAAGTTAAATTTGTTTTACAGCTCAATCAATTAACTGTTTTAACTGACAAAATTATATATGTTTGGTATATACAACATGGCCTCTTAGAAAACATAGTTATGTTGTATTAATATATACTTGTTTGGTTTCTTTTATTCTTTAACTCTAGGGTTTACTTTCTTTTGTTTTAAAAATATAAGTCATTTGTTTGTCCAGAATCTCAGGACAGTCCTGAATTTAGAACAGGAGGCTTAGCAAGGTGTAGTGAGTGTTCTTCATGACAGGTTGTGAAGCCAGGAGCACACCCTCTCTGGGAGCACACCCCCTCTGGGAGAGCCTGCCTTTTCAACCAGCACAGCACCTTTGGGTGCATTGCAAACAGTTTTGTTTCAGCTTCCTAAGAACCTAGGATAAAGAGCAAAACTGGGCTGTTTACTTGCTATTTAATTTGGCAAGTTTTTGGCAGGAAGTGTGTCTGTCTGTCTGTATGTATAGGTGTGTGTATGTATGCATGCATGTGTGTACTTGTGGTCCTAGGCCATGCTCATGGTAAGCCAGTGTCCTCACTGATCTCCATACTTACCTTGGCTGTTTTGTTTGCTTGCTATCTGGTCAGTCCTTGGAGCTCATTTTGACCTTGAGCTCGATTTCTCCTGTAGCAACCTCTTAAGGTGTTGAGGTGACAGGTGCAGCCGAGGTGACAGGTGCAGCCCACTGGGCCATGCTTGAAGTTAGATTTTTAAAACAATACTGCACGCCGTTTTCATTGATCAAGATTACATTTGTAGTTGTGCCATTTGTAAAAATATTACTAAAGAAAATGGAAAATAAAACTAAGCAAGCACTGTTTCTCACTGGACATCAGACCTTGTAAGTCTAAAATATGGGTTTCATGGTCTTCAAATGAACTGTGTATAAAATGCACAAGTGCTTGGCATTTAGGTGGCTGAGGCAGGAGGATTGTGAGACCAGCCTGATCTATATGGTAGCACTGCAGAAAAGCAAAGAGATGGGGTGCCCTGGACAAAACTAAATAAAGCAAGATTGTGTTTCTTCTTGTGTTAAAACACGGTCACATGTGCAAGTGAATTAGCACCATTTTTATAAGGAAAGGTTACAGTTAAAGGAACTTTATTTAGGTGTGTAAGGGGCTTGAACTGAAGGGTTTATGGTTGACTTAATAAGATACAGATAGCAGGTTTAACATCCTTCTTTGTTTATAGACTCAGCAAAGTACTTAGTATATCTAAATAAACACTTAAACTACAATTTTAAAGTATTGTTGAATTATCTGATATCTAAAGAAAAGAAAAACTGTTAATTGAAGTTGAATTTGTTATGAGGTAGATGTGAAATGCATCGTGTAAGGCAACTTTTCTTTAGTAAGATTTTTTTTAAAATAAAGATCAGAATCTTTTACAGCTTTTCACAGAAACTGAAGCTCAGGAAAACACCACGTTTTACTCTTGTTATTAGCCAACAAGGCAGATAGAGCATGGTCTTTGGACTCTGCTTGCTCTGTCAATACACTAATCTCCCGAGACTCCCTCCTTCCAAGCTGCCTTCAACCTGCATTCACAGCCTCCTCTGTCTGGGCAGTCCGAGCCCTTTGCCATTGCTTAGCAGCTCCAGAGAACAGGGTGTGAGTTCAGCCAGGGGCTTGTGTGACAGAGGTGGGACAAAGAAGTGGTAACAGCCCGTGCCTGATAAGACAGCATACTTTCAAGGCCTGGTTCCAACTGTTCAGTCACTTATTTAGACTCAGGATTTATGAGATGAAGACACAGAGCAGTCAACTCTCAAGAGCTCTATTTACAGGACTTGAGCGTGCTAGGAAAGACAGAACCCATGGCGTTCATTTGATGGTACTGGTCCTGCCTGACTTGTTAAGTTAGTATGAACTGTGAACAGTTTCCTTTCACTTCTCTATTGCTTTTATGTTTATTGCAAACATATTTAACAGTTTTCATTGCTTTCCTAATTGGCAGTCTAATGGGAACATGAAAAGCACAAATGACCCTCATCTCCTGACTCTTCCTTTTTTAAGGGAAAAATGCATAATTGGGATGAACAGCATACCCACTGCAATTATGCATATATTTGAATGTACTTTGCTAGTATTCTGTGTTCTTTGGAGCATTCAGTTTATTGAGATTTTTCTACTATCATGTGTTCATACTTTCTTAACTGATAAAGTGTTCTGTGCAAACTATATAAAAGACTAATATATAACTAAGTATTATTGTCTTATAACTAGTTATTTATTGCATCAAGTTTTATGGTGTCATAGGGAAAGCTTATCTTCACTGTTAAAGTCCATCCAAAGTGAACGCCTGTCCTGGCAATCTGTATTTGTGCCAATTTTAGGTTTTTATATTCATGTTAGATGTAAATTCTTAGACATTTTGGTAGCATTATGCTTTCAGTCTTTCATAAAAATCACCTTTATTTTCTTTTGTTTTTTTGCAATAGTCTCACTTTGTAGACCTGGCTGGCCTTGAACTCACAGAGGTCTGTCTCCCTCTGCTTCCTCAGTTCTGGAATTACAGCCACTATGGGTGCCACTATGCTTGGCTTCTCTCTCCCCTTTTAAGATGTGTTTTATGTGTGTGGGTGTTTTGCCTACATGTATATATGTGTACCACCTGTGTGCCCAGTGCCCACAGAGGCCAGAAGAGGGCATTGAATCCCCTAAAACTGGAAGTACAGTGATCATGAAATGCCTTGTGGTTCGAAACTGAGCTTGGGTCCTCTGCGAGAGCAGTAAACACTTTTAACCCCTGAGCCATCTCTTCAGTTCCCACCTTAATCTCCTGTGAGTTGTCTGAAATCTCAGGTTAAAGAGCATGTTAGTTTATATTACCTACTTGATTTTGCTTCCTTCACAGTTTGGGCAAACAGCGCATTAACCTGTGACTTAGCAGATGGAGAATCTGGGCATTGTGCTGTGCACAGCTAATAACATGCTGATGCAGATTTGGAACGCA